GCTGCTTGAGTTTGCAGATGTCATATTGCCTGACTACAGTTTTAACCCAGTCCTGTGCAGGCGTATCTATTACGGGAGCACGCACCCGCACTGCACTGTTCGTCGCTGGAATCTGAAAATCTGAGAAACTTTAAAAATAAGAATTTTGATATATTAAGCATTTTTGAAGTCTGTCTTGAAAAGGAGATATAAATTATTAAGTAAATATTGTTTGTAATTTGGTAAACTAATTGTTGCTGTTGTTTTGACAATACGGAATTTGTAGCATTTCGATATTTGATTGATAGGTCCATAGATATCCTACAAAGTCCACATACCCAATGTATTTTCATTTATGTAAATTGGTTGTGTTTACATGTGTGGAAAATGCTTTCCATCTTGTCGATGGTGTGAATTCCGGTACCAACAAAGTTCAATTTTCGTGCAATCGATATTTTTTATTGGAAACTATTTTGAGAACTCCACCGCATTCAATTATACGAATAACACAGCTGCTCCGCTCGGTCGAGTCTCTGCTCGATTATTTGTTATTTTTGCTGGTAGGAAATATTTGTATTTATAGTTCGGTAGTCGTATAATATTATTAACATATTTTGTATATTTTGTATATATTGTGCATTTGTTGTTCAGACAATTATGTTAATGATTTATAATGTTTGGTATTTAGTTGGGCACTTTGCCTTAATGTTATGATTTGTTGAAGAATATTTGTTTGATTGATTGTTTGCTTACTTTAATGGAACTAAAATTAAAAGTACTTGTTTTCATAAAAATCATATGATTACGAGTATTACTAAGCCTATTAAATTAAAAATGTCCTTATGCACATGATCAGTTTTATATTAAGTGCTATCTAAATACTGTATATCCAATAGACATTCTATATATATCCTATATATATTCTATATATATTCTATATATATTCTATATATATTCTATATATATTCTACATATATACTATATATATTCTACATATATTATAATTATATTCTACATATATTTTATATTTTTAGAGGGTTTTCGAATAGCATAGAAGAAATACTTTATATATATTCTACATATATATTATATTTTTAGAGGGTTTTCGAATAGCAAAGAAGAAATACTTTATATATATTCTACATATAGTATATATATTCTATATTTTAACTCTATATGTTCAGACTTTTAATCAATTTTAGCGCTGTTTGAGGTTTGTTTTTCCAAAATTTATATGAGGATCATAAGTAAAGTATCTGATGACACAATCACAACACAGGTATACATAAATAGACATGTGTTTGAAAAATTCTATTTAGTGAAATGATCTGTAAAGTAAGTGACCAGATAGAAGAGGGTGCTTATACAACACTATGGTGCAACCCAAGGGTATATACCAGCTTAGATCATGTTGTTTTGGCTACATAATAAACCATTTTATTACCACCACTTACAATTTGATGGTATGTATTTGTACCATAAGAATTGTTGGATAAATGTAATTTTTCAACTTTGAGCTTTTTATTCCCGACTTAGTGTTGCCGTTTTGTGATTTTGTTTCGAATGCAATAGAATTTTGTTTTCAAACCTCATAGCCTCGTTAACCATACAGTTAATGAAGACCTATAAGTTTCTGTAAAAATTACACTTCAGAGGATAATGTAGAAGAACATTTGAAGACAAATGTTCAAAATAATACTATGAAGAAAGTTTTTTTAGAAATATTGAATATTCCTTTATATTTCCGGTTTTGAATTCAGTGAAGTTTTATGGGCTTAAGGCATGATACTTAAGGCTATGATACTTACGGTGTAGTTGGCTTAATGTCTTTACTGTTTACTCTTGTTGATGCAATGCATTTATGATTTCGGCCACCAAGGTGAGTACACAGTAGATTTTTCTGGGGTATGTACTGTATGTATTACTAAAAATCGTTGCTTATAATTAATTTTGCCTATGCCAAACTTCTACATTCTTCAAGGCATCATATGTTAATGTTGGATAACATCCTATCTTGTGCGTTATAAATTAAAAAATTCTTTAAACATTTTTATAAAAGTTTATTCTATTTTCAAAAAGTACTGCAAAATATTCGATTACTTTTATTGCAATGCTTATTTTGATTTTTTTGTGAAGGTAGTGCGGATGATATCTTCCAGAAGTTGAAATGGTACATTAAACTGTAAAGGTACGCTTAGAAGAAACTAATAAAAATATGACAGTTGTTTAATTACCCACGTCAATTATAATACAAGTATGGCGTATGTAGCCAAACTACCCTTAAGGTTCTTAAATAATAAGGGTGTTTCGTATCTAAGAACATCAGTTCGCATTGAAGGCACATCAGCCAGTTAAAATGGAGTAACTTGAGTAAGTTGACACTTCATTACAATGGAGCGGAAATTCATAAAAATATTTTTAATTTGATTCTAGATAGAAATAATTTATAATTTGTGCATTAAAACTAATCTGTTTTCAAGATTATTTATTTATATATTTATATAATAAACTAAATAAGTAAAATAAGTTCAATTTTATTTAACATGCGAAATCTTATTAATTATTGTTATATTCTTAGGATAGCTTTCTAATTGATTAAATATAGATAAGTTAATTCCTATAAGCTAAGCAGAAAAAAAGTGAAAATAATCTTGTTGTTATCTACAAGACATTACTATATAATATAGAATCAATATACATAGGGAATGTAAAAAATTATAAAAATATTACATGATTATTTCTACACTAATTTACTTGATTAACAAATAACCATTTAAAAATTTTAAGGTTTAGGTTTATTTTAAACCTAAATTTAATGTAGGTATAAAATGTATATATTTATTTATTTTCGGAGGAGTGATCAAGTTGAGGAAGCACCAACCGCACGTCTAGAGGTGTCTGGAGGAACATGTTACGTTAGGTCGAATCCCAGTAACGGGTTGTTGTGGCCATTTTAGTAACCAAGTCAGTGAGTAAATATTGATAGTAGATATTGATAATTTCTGACTAAACTATATGCAAATCTCCATGTAATTGAAAAATTTGTGTTTTGATTAAAAGTTTGAACAATTTTTGAGTACAAAAGTAAGGTCCTGATCTATAATCTAGCTTTTATACAAAGAAAAAAACGAAAAGTGTTTTAAATTTCAATAGACTTAAAGTTCATAGCCTTAGTAGAGTTCTAACGAGCCATTCTGCTATTGCGTCAATGTGTCAATTTTTCAATGGTAGGGTATGCCAACAATCGGATTTTGCTGGGGGAGTTGGAATCATTGATCACTTTCTATATGTTTGCCCGGGATTGTAAACGTGAACTTGTACGATATTGCTTTCTGTATTGCAAGGGGAGATATAATCATTTACTTTGTTCAGAATTATGGATGTCAATATGTAGGACATTGTTTCCTTCATTTTAAAGATCAAATGATTGAGTAAAGATAGCACAAATGCCACGAATTGACAGGTTAATCCATAACAGTGCTACCAACTCTTAGGTAAAAAATTAAGTGTTAAAGTAAGAAACACTGGAACATAAAACTTTTTGTGGTATGTGTGCATTTGTGAGGTTATGTTAATTCACGCTTAACTAACCTTACACAAATTTGAGGTTGTAAGCAGGCAAGCAATCACATTAAATTTACTTTATTTGAAATTTCTTATGAAAAACAAACAATTTCGTTATTTTATTAATGCTATATAAATTCCACAAATCAATTAAATGGTAAAATGCAGCAATCACTCAAAATTTCTCAGGAAATAATCATTAAAAATGTAAATCAGGTTGTGCACACATAAATTTGTGTAATTAACCCAACTTAATGGAGAGAAATTGTTAGTTTTATCAAATGCGATTGTTTATAC